ATTTAGGGAGATTTAATTTGTTTTCAATGTATCCCCCGGATGCATCACCTTTTGGCAAGGCGCAAAAACACTGAACATGTTAATCTGAGGCTGCCTTTGCTCTGACTAGCACCTGTGCGAACAAAGGGCAACGGGGGGAGGAGTCCTTCTTGCATTTAAGAGTGGTGACCCTACCCCCTCACATCATCACGTGACAAATGCCTGACAAGTTTTAGACGCCCTCCAACGGAACGATTCATGCGTGACAACACATTGACAACACAATGACAAGAAAGTGACAATTATGGGCCTGGGATGCCGACACCAGTTTTAGAACACAGTGACAGATGTTGGCAGATCTTTGTTGGGGTGTGATTGAACTCAAACCTTGAACACCCTCACATGTTCTTGCAGCGCGCCAAACACAGAACGGTGAATGAGATCTATCATGTGTGTGTGTGCAACTGCATGTGTGATTGTTTCAGTGCGGTTTGCGTGTAGATGAAGGCGCCATCGCATTGTTTGAAGGTGAATCCGTAGTAGTGCCGTGCCCTTGTTCCATCCTGCCACACTAGCCTCAGAGTGTGTCTCCAATATTTTGTTGGTTTTGCCATCGGGCGATGGCATTATACTGTATCCACACAGCAGGATATGGGGTACTGTGGTGACACGGGTTGGGCTTGTGCAAGTTGGCGGGCCGGATTTTCAACTTGGTGACAATGTGTGGTGCGTGACAGTGTTGGGTTGAAGTTTGTTTCACAAGGGTGGGTGCCTTTGCCAAAACAGTTTATTTGAACATGTGCCCTCCAGGATGGCCTGGAGAGTGTGCTTGCTGCCCTCCTGTATGACTTGAAGGTGGAGCAATGCAAAATCGGGGAGCTGAATGATGAATTTTTGTTTGGCAAGGAGAAGAACGGCACGGGCTGGGAGCACATGGCTTGGGCGCGCATGCAGCTTCAGAACTTTCTGCGCTCTGTGGCTACGAAGTCACGGGCATCAGAGGCTTGCCAGGCTGCCTTGGTGGACCTATCCCCACTTGCGCTTGTGCCAAAGCTGGAGCCTTCCCCGCCCAGCGATGAGGTGGACAAGACGGCCGACAAGACTGTGGCCGCCTACGAGGAAGAGGTGCTGAAAAAGGCCAAGGAGGCCATGCCCGCGAAGGAGCACCAGCTGCTGGATGTTTTTCACTCCTGCATCGCAGGAGAGTTTTCAGAGGCGCTGGCCAAGATCGCCTTGGAGTCCAAGGGCGATGCCACAGCAGTCGTCCGCATGGTTGAAAAGGACACCACCAGCATGGGCAAGTCCATCGACAGCGCTATGAAGGCTTTGGAGGACAAGGCCGTGCAGTCAGAGGTGGCTGTGCCTGCCTTGACAGGAAGAGCGTTGATCCGGTTGGGATCCAATGATGATGAAGCGGAGCGGGTGCTTCGTGCTCAGAAGGAAAGAAAGGAGGTCTGGGAGAAGGCCATCGCGGTGAGGGAGAAGTACTGCACCCTCCACAACCTCTCTGACCTGCCATCGCCGCCAAAGACCGGTGCGGAGCTGAAGCAGCTGCTGCTTGACACAAGGTCTCAGAACGAGGGCGTCAGCTTGGAGCTCAACGCAAAGCACCGGGCAGTTATTTTCAGCGCGGACTTGGTGGGGCCAATGACCAGCTTCACCCACGGCGCCCTGACGACCGATGCTACAAAGACGCTGGCCATGCTCGCAAGCTGCATCAAGGAGCTGGGCTGCAGAGAGAGCGAGCTGCACATGATGTTTGACGGGAAGTCTCGCGAATGCAGGCGGGTCCTGGAGGATGCTTTGTCCAAGAGGCCGTCCACTGAGTGCGTGGAGCTTTGGGTGTCGTACCAGAAGGCAGCGGCGTGCAGAGTTAAACAGGCAAACAAAGGTTTGAAGGATTTATGTTATGTTTAAATTCATTGTCATGATATGCCTGTTGTTTGGCGGCCCCACATTATTCAAGTTGTGGTCACATCGCCTTTGTTGTGTGGAAGCCTGCCCCACCCCCCTGATTCAGGCCTGCAAGCTTGGAGGCACCCGTGAGGTGTTTGGCACGGACTGCACTCGGGAGGTGGCGTTGATTGGTCTTCCAGCCAGCCGGGTGAGACTGGCGTGCAAGGCCCGCGAGGACAGCGCACAGGGCTTATGATCTTTTTCACTGTTCAATTATTTTCTGAATCATTAAATCTAGTATTATGAAGACATGCAGTCAGCTTTGAACTCTGTTTTGCGCCAGGATGAGTTCGTGAGGGACAGCAAGGCCTCGCTGACCACTGCGGACTGCTTGTATGCCAATGTGCCGCCTGCAGAGGCCACTTGGTGCAATGCGTGGCCATTGATTTAATTTCATTTTTATTTTGATTGTCATGGTGAGACTCTTGTTGCTTCAGCGGTGCCAAGGTTCAGAGCCTTCCAAGGGTGTCCAGGGCTGACAAAGCCTCGATCTTTAACATGGGCAAAGACGAGGTGATGGCGCCCTCTGGCTGGGAGGAGGATGACATCCCGATGTTCTTCGCGGAGTCGAAGGTTCGGGCGTTTTGGCTGGGCATCCTCCGCAACCACCAGGTGGTCGAGGTGGAGGATCTGACGCCAGGCTCCGGTTGCCTGGCGTCCGCTTGCAGCTTGGTTGTTGCAATGTCGGCAACCGCTTTGTTTAAATTTACTATTTCTGGTTTTCCCGACCGAATCATTTTGCGTGTTGAAGGCAGCTTGCAAGTTGAGCGTTTTGTAATTTCATGAGATCATGACAGTTCTCTGAATTGACATTTTGACAAGGGGGTAAGGGAGATGGGCGCTAAAGGGTTTTTGATGGGATAGGGCCAGATTGCTCTGAGGCATGCAGTTGGGCATCCGCTACCGCGGGTGGACTTCGTGCAAGCGGTCGTGGGCATGGCTCTCAAACGTGATCAACAAGGAGGCGGCCCTGCAGATTTGCACCAGCGGAGCCCCGCTACATCAGCAGGGCTTGGCCGAGCTGCTGGAGATGCACTTCCCGGAGGAGATGCAGGGGGGCAGTGAGCAAACCGGCGACGATGATGAGTAGAGAAAGGGGGAAAAGTGCGCAGCTGTCTGTGCGTGCTTTCATTGAAATCCATTATTGAAATGCAAGATTGGCACATCATTTGAGTTTGGTGCATCATTCTCTGCCTTTGCCACGCCTAGGTGGGACAGCCTGGAGCTGGCATTGAGGTAGAAAAAGCGGCAACGTGCTGCGATGGGCAAGTGGAGATTTGGGGAAGGTTTGGGAACTGTTTGGATTGACTAATATTTTTCAATCAGGCTAGAACCACCACCCAGCAAAGCATTTGCATCCATTTGCGTTTTGGCGCCCATAAACTTGCTGGTGCTCAGCAAATGAGTTGGAATGGGCCCAAGACCAGCCATCCCCTGAGTTGGCACCCTTGCTGGTTCTCAGGGAATAAGTTGGCGGAATGACCTGAAGACGAACCAACCGATTTGGTGTCCTGCATTCGGGAATCCCCAAAGCCGCTTCATTCCCGAAACCCGGGCTCGGGAAGTCATGTCCTGAGCCAGCAGCCAGTTTGGGGGTTCAAGGAAAAAACGACGGGGGAAGGCATGCCTATTGTAGGGACTCCCAAATTTTGGACGCATGCCCTTCCTTGGGATGAAGTCAAAGAGTTCCTGAGTGGTTGATGGTTCGTGGCGGAGGGACGAGAAGCGGGGACTCACTGAATTTCAAGAATCCAGGCAACGAGCCCTAAATGTCCCGTATCCTCTTGGGGAAACAAGTAATTCTGGCCAAGCCTCAGATACTTTCGGGGTAGGACACCATCATTTGCTGGTTCTCAAGAAAACTTCAGGGTAG